GGGCTTTTTTCAAACAATGAGCCCAGAGCCAAGCTGAGCCCTTTCTCCACTGAAGGCCAGTCTCTTGCCTATCCCCTCCCACACAGCTTTCCCATCCATTCTGGAACACCTTTAACATCCTTAGTCAGGGACTGTCTGTATGGGCTAAGGGGAGGCTTGGGGTAGCAGCAGCTGGGCACTGTCTCTACCTATGTCACTGAGGGATGCAGGGGCAGCTATTCCAGAAGAAGAAAGCAGAGAGGCTCATAGACAGGCGGGGAGGAGACAGAGACAAAGACCAAAAGCAGCGTGACAGAGAGACACGAGCTGGGGGAGACAGAGAGGCCCAAATCGACAACACATGGCCGCCGTGCCAGACCCCAGGGCCCAGCAAATAGGCTTCATGCTGTCAGTTGCCATGGTGACAAACATGCAGGAAATATCCAAGATAACGAGAATAGTGGCAATAACATGTGTTTTGGATAAAACCTTCCGCGGCCCCACTCCCTCTAATGGACTCATTGCATTGCTTAGGATAAACCTGGCTTTTACACAATCACCTTCCCCAGGAGGCCGAGGCTGAGGGTTCTCGGGTCATCAGGTGAAAGGCACTGCTGCCCTAGGGAAACAGATGGACCTGAGGCAGAATTCTGCTCAGGAAAACAAAGGTGCATTTTGTGCCTCTCACCTCACTTCTGCCTCTCTGAGTCTGGATTTAGGTACCCATATCCTTTTGCTCTGGAACACAAAGGCCAGGAAGGGTCTGAATTCCTGTTTGAGGTCACATGGCAGGGTCTGAGGACAGAGGAGAGGTCCCGGAAGGTTCTTCAAGAGCCCACAAAGCATCCCAAGGGAGTTCAAGATACATCAAGAAGCCCAAGCTAACCTGAGAGCCGTTGAGGCTGCCTGTGAGCTGGACGCCCTGGCAGTGTGAGCACCTCCCAGGGCAACCCTGCCTCTGCTCTGAATGAAAGGCAAGGAATCCAGAGGGAAGAAGCAGAGAAGGGAGAGAGGAACAGGGGCACTTTGGGGCAGGTGACTGAGAAAAGGAAGAAAAGGGCACGTTTTGGCCTGGTATTCACATGGAAAAGTGACTCCCACACCTGGGGGAGTGGAAGGAAGAAAGGGGGCATCTCAGAAGACAGCAGAGCTTCCTACAAACCACCCCCCATCCCTCAGCTCCTAAAGACCGGCAGAGGGTTGGGGGGGTGCCAAAATCACCACAAAAGGCCCAGCTGGAAGCCAGCCAAGACAATTGGTGCCCGCCAGACTGTTTGGATTCCCCCTGCACTCTCTGGGTCGCTGGCAGAAAAGATTCCATGGAAAGGGCACAAACAAGATTTCAAGTCCTGCCACCGGCTGCCTGCACAACCTTGGTCAGGTCATGCCTTCCCAGGGCTTCCATCCTCGCCTCTTCTGGGTGGAGCTAACACTAACTTATCTCTCCGGGCTGCTAGGCGGAGTAAATGCCACAGGGCACGTAGGAGCACTTGGCACATTATAAAGCTCTGTGTCCAAGCTGTTGATTGCTGTTGTGACTCAGGCAGAGAGCAGCAGGCAGGCCAAGGGGCCAGGGAGAGGCTGCAGGCAAAAGTTCATGTGAGGAGACGCTGGTTTTTCTAATGACACTAGACCCAGATTTTCCGATCTAAACAACCAGCTTCAGTCGTGATTTCCCGTGTTGGAAAGTTTCTGGAAAATGATCCATGATAGAAATGGGTTTGGGAATGGTCCACCTGGACACAGCGGACTTTACTTGGCTTGGAGCATTCCCCTTGGGAATGCCAGAACCAATTCATGGCCTAGGAGGACAAAGAGCATCGTTCTACCCGCTGACCCTTGCTTCTCACCCTCTTTGGTGACCACAATCCCAGCCCCCACCCACCCCCCACCAATCAGGAGCATGAGCCACGCCTGGAAGCACCCCTTAAATGACCCTCTAGGCCCAAGTGAGGTTGATGGCACCACCTCCCTTGGGAATCTAGGGATTCCACAAACTGAGATGAAACCAGATTTGCTTCCATTTTTGCTCTTGGGAAGAGTGAAATTCACCCCACTCATCCCAAGTTCAAAGCCTTAGTTTGGTACCATGTTGCAAGGAATGTGGATGGAGGTGAGATGGAGACAGGTAGGGAAAGCGAGTAATGGCTCAATCCCTGGTGCGCAGCTTACACAGTAACTGCCAAGTGTGGGGAGCGACTGGCTCAGAGTATCCTGTTCCCCAAACCCAGGAAGGACCAGGGCAGGACCACTGGAGGAGCAAGGAGTTGTCAGCCCCTCACAGGTGGCACACCAGCTGGGCGTGCAGGGGAAAGGAAAAGGCAGACTGAGGCTGGCTAGGACCCCCACCAGTCCTGATTCCCGGGGAGGACAGCAGGAGGCCTGCTGGGCAGAACACCACCCACCGCCTCCCCAGCTGGCTGCCCTTCTCTGTATCTGGTTTCACTCTCTCCGCCTTATTTGGCCACATCGATTCTCTTTGGCCCTGAGATGATTTTTACAACTCTTCATCTGGTTCTACATGGCACCAGCAGAAGAGGTAGCCTCAGTGGCAGAAGGCTGGGTGTGTGGTGGTGGGGGGATGAGGGCAGAGGTGGGAGGTGGAGTGATGGGGTAGAATGTGGACCCAGGCAATCCTGGTTGCTTCTCCAAACACTCTTAGGAATGTTCAAGAGCTAATAAGAGCTGCAAAAGGCTGGAGCCCAGAGGAGGGCCTAGTGCCTGCCTGCACCATCTTCAGAATTCCCTAAGGTGCTTGAGAGACGCAGAGGCAAACTGTCCATTACAGAAGAGCCTTAACCTGAGAAGGGGGAACCCAGTCTCCCTTCCCGGTTCCATAGGCCCAGCTGGGACCCCAGCCCAAGCACCATGGAAAGTGTGGGCAGAATACGGAGGCACAAAATCCGCCCAGAAGACTTTAGGGTATGGTGTTTCATGGCCCCGGGGTAGGAACATGGTGCCGGCAGCCACTTTTTTCTGTTTGCCAAGGAGCTTTCTCCCTGGGGATTAACAGGGCCTTCCTGCCACCCCATCTGGCTGGTACAGGAGCCAGAACACCACCCCTGGCTGCCAGCCAGCCTGTGTCGGGGGAGCCAGGGATCTCTCAGAGACTTACAGGCGCAGTGCTGGGGCCTTAGGGCAGGAAGAGGGAGTCCTTGGCCACCCAGCTGGGAAGTCTGAACCCTGAAGTTCAGCCAGTCCCTACCCCTGTCCTGTGGCTGAGGGTGGACAGGGAGCAGGGGGGTCTCTTGTTGGTTTGCCTTCTTCCTCTCGCTCTCTCTCCTGAAGACGGGAAATATAGAACCAATTTGTAACCTGGAAGACTGAGGACAGGAGAGCAGGAGGCAGTGGACTTCAGTCTTGGTAAGATGTGATCACCCATTGGAAAGGCCACGCCTAGCTAAAGGTGGACATGCTCTTGGGCAGGGTAGGAATGGGCCTAAGAACCCACTGTCTCTTCCTCATACCACCGCCCGCCTTCTTATACACCTTCTCTCAGGGGCCCTCGAGACTCCGTAGCCAGGAACCCTCCCCAACCCCATGAAGGGAAGCCCACTGCCCTGGGGGGTAATGAGCAGTTCCACCCTGCTTGCGGGGAGGGTCAGTGACAGAGCCGCACATCAGACAGGGCAGGGCTGGTGTCCCAGAAGGTGGCTCTCCACAACCAGCCGTACCCACAGAACAGGACCACACCAAATGGCCCCCAATTCTCATCTCAGGCTCTGTGGCCCCCCAGATGGCTGTGGCCTGCACTTGTCTCTCTGCTCACCCTCCCTTGCACTGTCCTGAGTAAACAAACACAGCACTCAGGCAGCCCTCTGCTGGCAAACACATCTGACTTAGCAACCGCTCCTAGAATAAATAAACACCGCACTCTAACACACACTCAGACACACTCGCTCGTGCTCTTTCCTGGAACTGGGGACTGTTCCCTGTCCCACGTGCAGCCCCCGCCAGGCCCCAGCCTCAGACAGGCTACATCAGAGTAGTGCCTGGGACTGCCACCTTTTGCCCTGGTGTGGGAGCGAGCTGGGGCCTCAGGTGCACAGAAACCTGGACCCAGGCTTGGGGCTTCTTCGGGCAGCCCACGAGTCCCGGGGCGTGTGGGGGGTGCTCTGTTAGGAACCTCACCCTCAGGGGACCACTGGAAGGAAACTCTAGACACTTGGAACATTACAGTAGCAAAGGAACTTTCAACACGATCCAGTCACCGACTCAACCAGACAAACCTCAGGCAAGAAGCGGGTGACCGAATCCCAAGGATAGGCCTCGCAAAGCCAGGATCAGAACTCAGAGCTCCAACCCTTTCCACTTCCCCACAGAGGCCCCTTCCCCCCATCCTATGGATTCTTTTCACAGTTGTGCCCCTTCAGGGCTGGGATAGTTCAAGGGGGAAAACAGCACCCAGATGGCAGATTCTGAGTTGACAATTGGGTAGCAGAGCCTCCTGGCTGGATTTCCACTTAGTCCTGGAAGGACTTTCTCAGCAAGGCTCAGCCAGCCTTTACCCTTCTCTGGGAGCTTCCCAGGAGGTGTCCTTGCCCTCTCCTTGGGAATGATGGCATCTTGAGACCTCCAGCCCTACAATAAGTGCCAGCTATTCCCATCAAGAAGTCAGATGAAAATGTCAGTTACCTGGAGGCCTGTATTAAATCTAGGGGAACAATATAGGAAAAATCATGTTAGGCAAAAGAGACTGGAAGTGACCCCCAGTAATTTGTGTTTGATACATAGGAAAATAAGGGGCACCGAGGCAGGAGTGGTGGTAGCATCCGCTCCTGCCTTGGGAAAAAACTACAGACCAAGACAGGCCTGGCGTCCGGCAGAGTGGATCAAGATCATCCTGGCCATGGTGAAACCCCATCTCTACTAAAATACAAATACATTATGGCACGCGCCTGTACTCCCAGCTCCGCAGGAGGCTAAGGCAGGGAAATCTCTTGAACAGAGGAGACGGAGGTTGCGGTGAGCCGAGATCGCACCATTGCACTCCAGCCTGGGTGACAAAGCAAGACTCCCTCTCAAAAAAAAAAAAAAGTTTATTGAGTGCCTATTATATGCCAAGCCTTATACTTTGTATAGGAGATGCAAAGGTGAAAAGGTGTAGACCCTGCTTTCAACAGGTTGCAGTGAGCCAAGATTGCGCCACTGCACTCCAGCCCGGTGACAAAGCAAGAGTCTGCCTAAAGAAAAGAATGAAAAAAGTTGAATGCAAAATCTTCATCTTGTCAGTCAAGAGGGCATTGCTAATACAGTAATTATAGTCAGGTACAATCATTGTTCAACAGAATAGTAATACAAGCTAAATGCAAAATGTCATCCTGCCAGGCAAGAGCAGATTTCTTTTACTTGCACTGTAACTTTGCCATAGTGAGAAACTGAAAGTGACCAGGAAGAAAGCACATAAAGAATTCACAGTTACAAAAATATGGAGCTGGGGCCTGTGCACCGTAGCTCATGTCTGTAATCCCAACACTCTGGGAAGCCGAGGTGGGCAGGTTTCTTGAGCTCAGGAGTTTGAGACCAGTGTGGGCAACATAGTGAGATCCTATTTCTAAAAAAAAAAAAGAAAGAAAGAAAATGTGGTATAAATCCACCATGGATCAGCCATAAAACAGAACGAAATAATGGCCTTTGCATCAACTTGGATGGAGCTCGAGACCATTATTCTAAGTGAGGTAACGCAGGGATGGAAAACCAAACCGTATGTTCTCACTTATAAGTGAGAGCTAAGCTATGGGGACGCAAAGGCATAGGAATGATAGAAGGGACTTTGGGGACTCACAGGGAAGGGTGGGAAGGGGGTGAGGGGTGAAAGACCGTAATTGGGTACAGTGTACACTGCTCAGGTGGCAGGTGCAGCAAAATCTCAGAAATCACCACTAAAGAACTCATCCATGTAACCAAAAACTACCTGTACCCCAAAAACCATTAAAATATATATTTTTTCAAAGAAAACAAAATATTGGGGAGTAAAACAAAGTCATCTTTGTATTCAAAGATGACGAAGAAGAAGAAAACTCATAAAGCAGGATGGTGGCTGCAGAGGAACACAGGTGGCAGGTGTTGTGGGGAGGACCCTCAACAGTCTCTCCTGGACTCCTGGAGAGCCGCACATCTGTCCCTGGGAGACACTATGGGCCTTTCTATGTGTCCCCTCACCTCTCTGTCTTCTCTGGCTGTCTGGCCCTGAGCTGCCATTCATGTGAGAGAGAACTCGACACGCAGGGCCAGGAGACCAATCGCAAGGCCAGGAGGACACCGGGGCAGGGGACTGTCAGGCTGAGAGCACCGGGGCTACACGGGAAGCTGTCAGCTCAGAGCCGAAGCTGTGGACCAGGCTGCTCCTCAGAACTAAAGGCTCACAACCAACTACTGGCTAGACAAGGCTGGGAAATCAAGCATTACAGAGTGCTGCTGTGACTCTGAGTGGGCAGGAAGCCGAACTCACAGCCAGGAGACCAGGATGTCGGGCAGCAAATCTAGGAAGGGTCTGGGCAGCAACTGCAGGACCCTAGCCACAGGAAAAGACTTTGACAGCGGACCAAAGACTGGCTGAGGAGGGGATGCCTAAATTTTGTTTGCCAAGTGCAGGCCTCAAGGCCTGAGTTGATAGGTAGAGGGAAGCATAAATGGCCTGAGGTGTGACAGACTGTGTGTGCAAGGCAGTTCCTTAGAGCAGGTGCAGAACTCACCACATTGAAACTACCTGTGTGACTGACTGCAAATAGCAGCTTGTGCTCATGGGGAAAAGATGGTTCAAGGCTCTTCTGTGCCACTTACTAGCTCGGGAGAGTTACCTAGCCTCTGTAAGTCTCAGTTTTCTCATCTTTAAAATAGGGATAATGACACCTACCTCATCTGGTAGTGGTGAATGTGTGAACTCAGTGATGTAAGGGATGTTGAAATGCTTTAGCACTTGGCCTGGCCCTATTGAAAGTGCTCCACAAAAGCTAGACATGATTACTAATTCAACATTCATTGAGATCAGCCTGGCCAACATGATGAAACCCCATCTCTACTAAAAAATATAAAAATCAGGCCGGGCACAGTGGCTCATGCCTGTAATCCCAGCACTTTGGGAGGCCAAGGCAGGTGGATTACTAGGTCAGGAGTTCGAGACCAGCCTGGTCAACATGGTGAAACCCTGTCTCTACCAAAAAAACAAAAAATTAGCCAGGCATGGTGGTGCACGCCTGTAATCCCAGCTACTCAGGAGGCTGAGGCAGAAGAGTCGCTTGAACCCAGGAGGCGGAGGTTGCAGTGAGCTGAGATTGTGCCACTGTGCTCCAGCCTAGGGAACAGAATGAAACCCCATCTCAAAAACAACAATAAAAAGTTTATTGAGTGTAGGCCGGGCATGGTGGGTCATGCCTGCAATCCCAGCATTTTGAGAGGCCGAGGTGGGTGGATCACCTGAGGTCAGGAGTTCGAGAACAGCCCGACCAACATGGTGAAAACCCGGCTCTACTAAAAGTACAAAAATTAGCCAGGTGCCTTGGCATGCACCTGTAATCCCAGCTACTCAGGAGGCTGAGGCAGGAGAATCGCTTGAACCTGGGAGGCACAGGTTGCAGTGAGCCAAGATTGCGCCATTTCACTCCAGCTTGGGTGACAGAGGGAGACTCCATCTCAAAAAAAAAAGTTTATTGAGTGCTTATTATATGCCAGGCCCTATACTTTGTATAGGAGGTACGAAGATGAAAAGGTACTTTCAGCTGGTCAAGGCTTCCAGAGGCTCCTACTTCAAATGAGCGATCACAGGGCAGTATGCTCATTAGCAGTGGAGGCAGATACAGAATGCAGAAAGGGGAGGTAGGGAAAACAGCATTCAAATTTGCCTTGAGAAATCAGGGAAGGCCTCCAGGAGGAGACAGGACATGAGTTGAGCCTGGAAAGCTGAATAGGAGGTTTTCTGGTAGACAAGTAGAGAAAGAGCAGTGTGGGTAGAAGAAGGAGTAAGTGCAAAGACACAAGAAAAAAATCGAATCCCAAGAAAGCCTTCTGTGTTCTGGGAGTTCAAACAATGAGCTGCAGTGCTGCTGTGGCTTAAAGAGGAGAGCTTGGGAGGAGAAATGAGGCTGGGCTGACAGATGGGACCAGAGCATAAAGGATTGTTTTATACTGTGCTAAATAATTTAGATTTTACCCTGAGTGATGAGAAGCCACTAAAGAATTTTAAGTAAGGGGGTGATGGACATGTTTGTTTATAAAAAGACCACTCTTGCTGCTATGGGTAGTATGGATCAGCTATGGTCAGGAATGGCTGAAGGGAAACCAGTTGGGAGGCTAGCAAGAAGTGAGAGCCTGAACTAAGGAAGTCCAAATGGGGCTGGATTAGAGCAGATGGATGCTGAAGCAGGAAACCCGGCAAGAGACTGGGTGTTAAGAATGAGGCACAGGGCCTGGGGAATCCTTCTCCAGGACGGGGTCTTCAGAAACGTGAGCAGAGTCAGAGGGAAGCGAGAGTCCTGCTTTGGTCTCAGAGAACTTAAGGTGGAGCTCAGAACAAAGTCTTTGGCTGGACATGCAGATCTGGGGTCATGGGCATGAGGGTGTAGCTTAGCTGGAAGTGGGGAATGTGCAGAGGCAGGAGGAAAGACAGCATTGGATAGCCACAGACACTATGGGAATCCCAGTCAATGTGTGTGCATCTACTGGAGAAAAGAGGACCTGTGAAGAAGAATGAAAAGAATCTTATACAGTCATAGGAAGAGATCCAGGAAAGAGCAGTGTCACACTGCTCCAAAGGAGCAAAGCATGTCAGGATTGCAGGAAAGGTCGATGATGTCAAATACTGTTGACAAGTCCAGTAAGGAAAAGACTGAAATGCAACCACAGATGGTCCCTGATGATTTCACAGAAGGCATTTCTTTTTTTTTTTTTTCTTTTTTAGAGACAGAGTGTCACTCTGTCACCCAGGCTGGAGTGCAATGGCATGATTTCAGCTCACTGCAACCTCTGCCTCCAGGGTTCAAGTGATTCTCCCCCCTCAGCCTCCTGAGTAGCTGGGATTATAGGCACCTGCCATCATGCCTAGCTAATTTTTGTAGAGACACGGTTTCACCATGTTGGCCAGGCTGGTCTTGAACTCGTGATCTCAGGTGATCCCGCCCTGGCCTCCCAAAGTGCTGGGATTACAAGCGTGAGCCACCGTGCCCAACCCACAGAGGGCATTTCTGTGGTAACAGTGCATGCCAGACTACAATGGGTTGTGGAGTCAATGTGACACGAAGGGAGAAAATACAGGGGACACTTGTGAGAAGCTTGACTAAAGGAGAAGACACAAGGTGTAATAGAGACTTCAGGTGGAAGGTTTAAATTTGTTTTTTAGTGTGGGAAATACTTGAATGAGTATATAGGCTAAGGAGAGGTGGAGCATAAAGATTCAGAAAAAACTCAAGGCAAAAGAGAGGATAATAGAGCAAGGTCCCAGAGAACAGAGGAAGAAATAGGATCTTGATGACACGCCCCTCTTCCTGAAACACTCTTAGCTCACATCAGCGGAAACAGACTCCGAGACTCTGAGGTTTTCATGCAGTAGAATTGCTGGGGAGGCGTCTTAGGAACCAGCCCGGAGAGGCAGCACAGGAGGCAGAACTGTGCCTCGTGGAAAAGGGGAGTTGCTCAGGCATGGAGGTTTGTAGAGCATCCCAGGCAATAGAGGAAATTCTTTCCTGATGGACTCCTTTTTCTTTTCACAATGAGAAATTGTTGAGAAAGAGTGTTTGGGATCTCCAGAAAAGTGGAAATGGACTGGAATGACCTTGGATGACAGGAGGAATCACAAGCTGGGGTTAGTGTGTACCCTGGAGGGTGTAACAAAAATCAGATGCCATAAATCCGTGGTGTCACCATCTTCTGGGCTGAGTGATTTTTCCCCAGTTGGGCTCTGCATCCCAGGAGAGGAGGTTGAGGGTGAGGATAACCTAAGGCGTATTTCTGAGCTTGTGCCTACTCAATGCTCCTGCTGGGCACCTGTCTCCAGCTGGGACTAGGGGAAGAGGCTGCAGTTCGTGCCTCTACTTGAAGCTTCCTTTTCTCTCTCAGGGTTGCTATTTATTATGTCTTGGCCAGTGCACTGATCCAAAAGTTGAAAAAAAGCAGAGTACACATCAAACCATTCCCAGAATCAAACTTTAGGATGATTTAGAGATCAGTGAGTCAGATACATGTGGATTAAATTTTCCTCTAACTACATACTTGGTTAGAAAATCCTAGACTGGGACTTGGAAGTGATGGGTACTGTTTGGGACACCCAAGTTGCTATAAAGGGGTAAAACGTGTGTTCAGTTCCAGTCCCTGGATCATCAGGCAAGGTCTGAAAACCTCTTTTCGAGACAGCATACATTCCCAGGACTGCAGACCACTGGACCAAACTCCTAGGAGGCAAGACTTGTGCACCCTGGTAAGAACCCAAACCAAACCTTTAATGGGGCCAGCCTGGGGCGAGACTGGCCCTGCTTGGCTGGCTTCTGCTACCATCACTCATCCTTTCTGAGTGAGGGCAGCCTTGAGGCCACAAAACAAAGCCAAAATGGCTTCAAAGACAGTAAACTCAACGTAAGTTTGTATAACTTCTTTAGGCCAAAAAAGAGGAACCCCAGGTTAGAGGGCAGGTACTTTCCTGGAATAAATGAGTTGGAAAATACGAAAATATGGAGAAGAAAAGAGCAATGTTTTATCAGGGACCAAAAAAGAAAAAAAAAGACAGTCAAAAGACCCAAGTCTTCATTCTGGTTCTGTGATTTTTAAGGAAGTCACTTCCCCTTGAGGTTTTGGCACCCTCTGCTGAAAATGTAAAGGTTTGGATTTGATGATTACTCATCTTTTATCTTCTGATCTTACTTATCTAGTTTTATGTCCTTCATGCTCAATTCAAACTCTTCCATGCTCTGCCTCTCCCATATCCATTTTTCTTCTTCCCAAGGGGCATGAAAGTATTTGGTAAGCTAAAAGATGTTGGCCTTCTCTTTCCAGTTCTTGCTCAAACCCCAGTTGATTCTCCAAGTTGTCAGTATACCATCAATTCATTCGTTCGTTCATTAACACCAATTTCCCTCTGCCGCTCTAACTGGAGCTGAGCAATTAGACACATGGTAACCTTGTGTGTAAGAAGATAAGAAGTCTACCAGGGACTCCAGGGGCCAACAAATTGGGCAAAAATTAGGCAAGGGGTGGGCCCACTCGGACCCCATACTTCTTCCTAATCAGTCAGCAAAGGGAGTGGTCTCTTTTTCCAGCCCTCTCTTCCCCTGCTCATCCCTTGGTGAAAGGAAAGAATGACCCACATTGTGACCCCATGGCGAGAATGGAGAGGGGAGAGAAATACACAAGGGTGACGAGGCTTCGTGTCAGGTGGCAGTAGCTGGCAGCTCTCCACACCTTGATCTCAAGGCCACATTCTCTCAAATGAATGACGGTGGAAGGGGAGCCAGGAAGAGATCCTTGAAATGGAACGCTGGAGTGCTCAGGATGGAGCGGGCTCCACAACAGCTGTCCTGCAGATGGGAAAGAGCATTTGAATCTTGAGTTTATATTTCTAGAAAAACTCCCCCTCCCACTCTTAGCTGTATTATAGGGTTTTTGTGAGGTTTAGAAAAATAAACAGAATCTAACCATAACTGTCTGAAAGTGCTAAATTACCAAGAAAGACATAACAGATTAGCAGTGCAAACTGAGCCTGGGTGGGAGACGGCCAGCACACGGGGGATCTGAGAATGACCCGTAGGATGGTGGTTTCTCTGCTCTCCTTCCTGCTCCAGAATGAGCTGCCTCCACACACTGCAGCCTCTCTGGTGGCTCTAAGGCCGAATTGCATTATCCAGAGAGCCTGAGGTTTAGAAATGGACCAGCCGGGCGCGGTGGCTCACGCCTGTAATCCCAGCACTTTGGGAGGCTGAGGTGGGTGGATCACTAGGTCAAGAGATCAAGACCATCCTGGTCAACATGGTGAAACCCCGTCTCTACTAAAAATACAAAAAATTAGCTGGGCATGGTGGCACGTGCCTGTAATCCCAGCTACTCAGGAGGCTGAGGCAGGAGAATTGCCTGAACCCAGGAGGCGGAGGTTGTGGTGAGCCGAGATCGCACCATTGCACTCCAGCCTGGGTAACAAGAGCGAAACTCCGTATCAAAAAAAAAAAGAAATGGGGACCATGTCCACTTTCAAACCAGCAACACCCTCACACTTGAAAAGATCAGGCTCATGCCATCAAGTTCGTATCTGGTTTGTAGGTAGGACTGCTCCTGTCGCCCTGGTTGGAGGTGAAGCACTTTTCTGTTTCTAGAAACAACCTTCTCAGATGAACCTGGAGGGCATTAAGTTAAATGTAATAAGCCAGGGATAGAAAGATAAAGACTGGATGATCTCACTTATAGGTGGAGTGTAAGAAATTCCTAACTCATAGAAACAGAGTAAAATGGTGGATCCCAGAGGCTGTCGGGCTGGGAAATTGAGGAGATATTGATCAAAGAACACAAAACTTCAGTTAGGAGGCATATATTCAGGAGACCTATTGTACATCAGGGCAACTACAGTTCATAACAATATAGCTTATATTTTAAAACTGCTCAGAGACTAGATCTTATATGTTCTTACCACCATTAAATAAGGATGTGAAATAATACCTATGTTCAAGAGTTTGAATTAGCCATGCTGCCTGTCATATATATCAAAACATCAAGTTACATGTCATAAATAGGCATAATTTTTACTTGTCAATTTTTTTAAAAAATAAGCTTTTTTTAAAAAAAAAAACACAAAAAACCTTCTTTATCTTTTCCCCAGGAATCTGGGAGGGTGTTTAGGGGGGTTAAACTCCCAGAATGTTGGAATTGAAAGGATCTTAGAATATGGCCCCCATCCTTCCTTTATAAATAAGTGAACTGAGGCTCACAGGGAGGAAGCAAATGCCCTAGATCCAGCTGGTGAATGGCAGAGCTGGGACTAGAACCCGGGTCTCCTGAATCCCCGCAGATGCATATTCTGTAGCAGCTACTTCCAGGCCTTCCATCGAACTCCCAATTCCCCTTGCCTCGTTATTTTTCATTGGGTTGTGCCCAGTGAATTTATATCCTTTAGGCCAGTCTGCAGCTGTAACTTCTATGAATTTGAAGTTCTCATATCTGAACTTTAAGGTCTCTTCAGCTCAAGTCAGTAGCTTACCTTTTTTTGAGCCCATACTATTTGTCAGGCACCAGGAACTCAAAGGTGAAGAAGGCACAGTGCCTGTTTTTAAAGACTGATGGCTGGGAGCAGTGGCTCATGCCTGTAATCCCAGTACTTTGGGAGGCTGATGTGGGTGGATCACATGAGTCAGGAGTTCAAGACCAGCCTAGACAAAATGGTGAAACCCTGTGTCTACTAATAATACAAAAATCAGCTGGGTGTGGTGGTGCATACCTGTAATCCTAGCTACTTGGGAGGCTGAAGCAGGAGAATCACTTGAACTCGGGAGGCGGAGGTTGCAGTGAGCTAAGATTGCACCGTTGCACTCTAGCCTGGGTGACAGAGTGAGACTCCTCCACACCTGTAATCCCAGCACTTTGGGAGGCCAAGGCAGTCAGATCACCTGAGGTCAGGAGATCGAGACCATCCTGGCAAATATGGTGAAACCCTGTCTCTATTTAAAAATACTAAAAAGATTAGCTGGGTGTGGTGGCACACTCCTGTAATCCCAGCTTTCAGGAGGCTGAGGCAGGAGAATTGCTTGAACCTGGGAGGTGGAGTTTGCAGTAAGCTAAGATCCTGCCACTGCACTCCAGCCTGGGTGACAGCAAGACTCCATCTCAAAAAAAAAAATAAAAAAAATTAAAAAGACTGACATGCAGCTACAGAGGAGCTTCTGGGGTTCTTTCTGACCAACAACCTGAACTCCTACTGCTAACTCAACCTGTGGCCCTATTACATCTTCAAAATGTGTGCAGGGTAGGTTAGGAAGTTACCACGTTAAGCTATAGTCTGTACGGCACTGTTCTGTGTTCTGGAAGAGAGACCTCCCTACCCTCCAATAGACATGTGAAAGACTGGCTTCTAGTTTACTAACAGATGTAGGGCAGATGACCAGGATTTGAATTCTAACTTCATAATTTATCAGCAATGAGACCACAGGCAAATTACCTCATCTTTCTGGGCTGCAGCTTCCTCTGAAATGAGGATAACGAAGACCACCTTATAAGGCTGTTATGAAAATCAAACAAAATTTGATTTTCACAGGAGAACTTAAAAATGCTACTTGCGGCCGGGCGCGGTGGCTCACGCCTGCAATCCCAGCACTTTTGGAGGCCGAGGCGGGTGGATCACGAGGTCAGGAGATCGAGACCATCCTGGTCAACATGGTGAAACCCCGTCTCTACTAAAAATACAAAAAATTTAGCTGGGCACGGTGGCGCGTGCCTGTGGTCCCGCCTACTCGGGAGGCTGAGGCAGGAGAATCACCTGAACCCAGGAGGCGGAGGTTGCAGTGAGCCGAGATCCCGCCATTGCACTCCAGTCTGGGTAACAAGAGTGAAACTCCGTTTCAAAAAAAAAAAATGCTACTTGCTTTTCTTTCTCTTGAGTTCTGGTCTTATCTGACTGTGTGTTACTCAGAGTGTGATGATCACTGAAAATTTCAATGTGTATTAGTCTGTTCTCACACTATTAATAAAGACATACCTGAGACTGGGTAATTTATAAAGGAAAGAGGTTTAATTGACTCACAGTTCCACATGGCTGGGGAGCCCTCACAATCATGGAGAAAGGTGAATGACAAAGTCATGTCTTATGTGGCGGCAGGCAAGAGAGCTTCTGTAGGAGAACTTCCTTTATAAAACCGTCAGATCTCACGAGACTTTTTTACTATCATGAGAACAGCACAGGAAACACCTGCCCCCATGATTCAATTACCTCCCACAAGGTGGGAATTACGGGAGCTACAATTCAAGAAGAGATTTGGGTGGGGACACAGACAAACCATATCATAATGCTTTGTGGAGAGAGTGTTTCACTGTTCTTCTCTTCCAATCACAGAAAAGGGGGCTGGCTGGCCACCCTCTCCCTTATAAATGTGACCTCCCACTTCAAGTCTGCCTGGTGTAGACCCTGATCTTGGTTCAGGATGACACCCCTTCCTGCAGGCTAACCTCCCTCCCTTGGCATCCACCATTGCAAAAGGATGAGCTGCCCTAATCTGAGCCACACAGATTTTCTTTCTTTTGAAGAAAGAAAAGTGAAGGGAAGTCATGGAGGAGATGCGCTTCTCCTTGATGCGTCATGAAAGACACACAGATTGAATGTCAGAAGACAGGCTGGAAACTGCCCTTCCTCCACGTCTGTGCCACCCTAGCCCCACTGAGCCTCAGTTTCTTGATCTGTGAGAAGGGAACACAAAAGCTGTTTCATTTACTTGCTGTGAAGATTAAACTTGAAAACATGAATAGTCCTGACAAAGAGGAAAGTATTAATACTACGTTGATGCTACTATACCATTATCGTCTCTTCTCCTGTTCCCCGACACATGTCAATGAAAGCAGGCCCAGGCCAAACCTGCAGAAATTCAGTTTCATTTGCTAAGCAGCAGTCCTACTCAATGCTCTCCAGCTGGTAAGGGCAGGGCCCTCCTCTCTCCACCTGAGCTGTGGGAGGCAGGGGGTAAAAGGCCAGTCCCAGAACGGGAACCATGGAGCGGTCTCCTTCTCACTCTGTCTCTAGGGGAGTGCTCTTGGCAAGGAGCAACTGTTCCAAAGGCAAATGCCCAAGGTGAAATCCATCAAAGGGGCCCTGGACTGGGATAAGACCGAAGAAAGTAAATCAAGTCTCTCTGAGATAAGAAGACAGCCTGGAGCATTTAAAAAATGCAACTTGGCCAGCTGCCCACTTTTGCAAAGTTTTAAAGTGGAGGGCTACACTAGGTAGGAAGGAAGGAAACCAGACCCCATCCCCCTATTTGAAAAAGGGAGGAGCCCTGGTATGGGGCTTCTCTCTTCTCTCTCCCTTTTACCACAAGTCCCAGCCCAAAAGGAGCAAAAGGCATTTTTAATGAGTCTCTCTCAGCAGAGAAACATGGAGGTCGTCCATTGGCATCAGAGACTAAGGACAAGGATTCTAGGGTCAGGAAGGCTGGGTTCTAATCCTGACCTTACACCATACATGTAGTATTAAGCAAGTTACTTCATCTCTATGAACCACAGTTTCTAACAGGGATAGTATTAAGCTACCTTATAGAACTTTTTTGAAGATTAAATACGGGATAATTATTATAGAGCATTTACTACAGTGGCATGCAGAAAGTGTGTAATCAATAGTGTTATGGCTATTTACAAGATCTTTAAGAGATCGGGGAAGCCAATGCCTCTCTAACTTCCTTCTCATCCCATTTGGATAGTCATTTCTTTAAAATTCTCTAAAAAATATTCCCCCAAACAAATCTGGTAGCATCAGTCTCATGTATTGAACATTATTGAACTGTGGACTTTTTTCTTGCCATTATGTCCCATTTGTAACCTATGACCATACCTGTCCTACTCACCACCTCTCCAAAAATTTATATGTTTAAGTGCATGCCTGACTGGCTGAGCCTGGAACATTTACAAAGCGGTGTTTGACCACTCTCAGGTCATGAAGAGAAGACAATCTGTAACAGCCACCTGGAGTCCCAAGAGAGAGATGTGGGGAGGCAAGGGAATAATGACTTAGACAGGAGTTCCCTCGGTCAGAGGGGAGGACTCTGCATCTGAAAGAAGACCTTCATATTCCTCAAAGTCCCCTTTACCTTATCTTCATCTTTCCCTTTTTTGTTATCAGTAAGCCACACAGTTTTCCATATGCCTGGGCTTGGTGTGTAATGGGAGAAGTTTACATCTTGGTCCCCAATCTAAAGCTATCAAAAGGATGGGCGTGGTGGCTCATGCCTGTAATCCCAGCACTTTGGGAAGCCAAGGTAGGTGGATCACCTGAGGTCAAGGGTTCGAGACCAGCCTGGCCAACATGGCAAAACCCAGCCTCTACTAAAAATACAAAAATTAGCCGGGCATGGTGGTGTGCACCTGTAATTCCAGCTATGCAGGAGGCTAGGGCAGGAGAATCCCCTGAACCCAGGAGTCACCTTGTCACTGCACTCCAGCTTGGGACAAGGTGAGACTCTATCTCCAAAACAAAACAAAAAATAAATAAAAATAAAGCTGCCAACAGTCTAATCAGAGCGGGAACCAAGAAACCTGGGGTATCTCAGGGAATCTGGGAACCTGGCCATCTTACCATGGAACCCAAGGTAGAGGTAAGATGGATTCATGGCAGGGAAAGAGAAGCAAACATTGAAGGTCCCTGAAGGGAGGAGGCAAAAGCCTCTGGCCGCAGCAGGAGGATTTACAGCTTCCTGAGCAAGGAAATTGCATGTGAACATGGTATGTGGGGTGGGCGGACCAGACCAGGAGCCCATATGAGAGCGTGAAGGAGAGTAGGACCCAGATTTGACCTTGTCTCAGCCTCATACCAGCTGTGCAAGTGGCACTGGGCAAGCTGCTTGACCTCTCTCTTGGTTTCTCACTTGGAATAATAAAGCCTGACTTCTAGGTTTGTCATGAAGCTGCGAGGTGATATATGGAAGGTCGCTTCGTGCAAATGCATGGGTTCTAGTGACTGAAGTGGTGTGCTGGGGAGAGGGGCACTGCAGGAAGGAAGGCCATCTGGGGACGAGTGAGGCTGTATGGCCAGGCAGGCTGGTGGGGACAAGGGTAGCTAGAGTAGGGGAAGCCTTTGAACCTTTTTCCACTGTGCGGCTCTCCTCCTGCTGTTCACAGGTTCTAGGGGCTGCGTAAAGAGTCCCATAGACTTAAACCCTCTCTTGGCCTAAAACCCACAGTAAGAGGCAGACAGCCGAGAAGATCCGGGAGTGACAGAACTTGAGTGGATATACAAATAGACAAGATTAACAATTCCCACTATATACACAAAAGGCTTTGCTAACACCCGGCCAATTAGAAAACTAATCTAAACAGCCACTGACTTCCAGTCTCCCATTAGCTCTCCAGCAGCTGTTCACTTGCCACAGCTCCCAGCAAGTGCCCTGAGGCTTCTCCTTGGGTCTGGTCCCCACTTGAGCCTGAAGGGCTCCTCAAGAGCAAAGGATTGTGTCACTTCCCTTCCCTTTCCTGAACTCCCTCTCCGGTCCTGCTGCTGTTATTACAGGGGGCTCCCTCCAGGTTACTGCCTCTGAGAAGCCTTCCCTGGCGCCTCCAAACAGAGGGACCATTGCAGTACTTTCAGGTTGGTGCCATTCATCTGGGGAACACATACACCAAAAGGGAAAGAGCAAAGCCTTTGAAGTCTGGCAAACTGGAGTTAAAAACTCCTAGATCTCTCATTGTTGTGCTCTTTTTGATACCCTGTTCCCTCACCTAAAAAGAGGAGAATAATGGTACCTACTTAGGAATTAAAAGCAGGCTGGGTGCGGTGGCTCACACCTGTAATCCCAGCACTTTTGGAAGCCGAGGTGGGCGAATCTGCTTGAGTCAGGCATTCAAGACCAGCCTGACTAACATGGTGAAACCTCATCTCTACTGAAAATACAAAAAATTAGCCAGGCATGGTGGCAGGTGCCTGTAATCCCAGCTACTCAGGAGGCTGAGGCAGGAGAATCACTTGAACCACTGCACACCAGCCTGGGCAACAGAGCGAGACTCCATCACAAAAAAAGGAAAATAAATTAAAATCAAATATGTATATACGGGTGTGTGTGTGTGTGTGTGTGTGTGTGTGTGCGCATAGATAAGCAAATATATATATAAAACAAGCTAGTACAGGTCCCTGCACACTGTAAGTACTCAATGCATTGCTTTTGCCATTATTATTACTATTGTACTGCTACTACTATTATAATTGTCATTATTGCTGTCTTTGAGTTACCTGAGGGCCAAAAACAACTTTGACTTGGGGCCAAGTAGTGTCTAACATGGTCCCTGATGGTCTCTGTCTCCCGGCCTCCACGCCCTTTGTAAACCCCTCCCCTGGACTGTGGGTGGAACCTGGGACTTGCTCCTAATCCACAGAATATGGCAAAAGCAATGAGATGTCACTTCCTTCCTCAGGTTACAAAAGATCATCACTTCTATCCTGCTGGCCAACCCTCTCTCCAGCCTTCTCAGCTTGCATATTCCATGAAACAAGCTGCCATGCTGGCAAGGACCACATGGCAAGGAATTGAGAGCATCCTCTGGCCAGCAGCAAGCTAGGAACCGAGGCCCTCAGTCCAACAACCCTCGAGGGACTGAATTCTGCCAACAACCATGTAAACTTGGATGTGGATCCTTCCCCAAGTGAGCCTTCAGAGGAGATGCCAACCCTGGCCAAAACTTTGGTTACAGCCTGTGAGATATTCTAAAGCAAAGGAGCTGGCTAAGTTGTGCCCTGACTCTGGCCTACAGAAACTGAGATAATAAAAGAATATTGTTTTGAGCCATGATGTATTATGGATTTGTGACACAGAAATAGATAGCCAACATATCCTCTCTGTCTTCCTAGCCCAGCACTTGGCATATGGAGTGGAAGTCAAGTGCCATTTGAGTGTATGAATGAATGAATGATGATGCTTTCAGGTAAACTCATCAGGACCTAAGAAAGGCCTAGACGGGGCAGATCCAAAGAGAGTGCTCTTTCCCAGCACCCACTGCCTGTATCTTGTGTCTTCTCTCCCTCACTTATAATCCTAGGTCCCTCCTCCCTTCTCTAGTCCTCAGGACCTTGCTCTCCTCCTGGTTCCTGCATTTAGTCATTCTCACTGAATTTTTATTTTCCTCCTAAAAAAAAAAAAAATTCAGGTCTCTCTAAAATATCTGACCCTGGTGAATTGGAATAATTTTTGATGGAAAGCAGTCTTGTCCAGAAAGGCTCTTACCCACCCTGCTCAGGAATGTGGTTGCTACAGATATTAAAACAGACCTGCAGGCGTCTGCAGTGAGAGGGGAGCTCATGCCAGCAATGACCTCAGCCTGCACAGCAGGCTCTTACCTAGGAAAAGCTGCTGCGTGGAGCTGGATCACAATAGAACCCTTCCTTCTCCAAACTCTTCCCCTTTCAGTTATCCCAGGCTGCAATCCCTAGTTTAATGCTTGAGACACACCTTTCCACCCAAGCCTGGGACCAAAAGTCAAGGGCGGTGCCACCAGGCCTACAAGAGAGGATGCTGTGGGTTTCATCGTCCCTTCACATTTAAGTGGCTTTGGCTGAAGAATGCGGGCCTCACCCTGGCTGCCCCCCTTTCCTGTCCTCTTCTCCCAACTTCATGCCTCCCCCTGACAGCTCCAAGGGGTCCTGCTCAGGTTGAGAGGTACCAGGCTTCATTTCTTCTGCAAGAGGCACCTTCCTAGGGTAGGCCAGGAGTCTTAGGGCAGAAACCGGAGCCTGGGACCCTGCATGGTAAGGCTCCCCACTGTGTGGCTGAGCTTGTATCTGGGCTTGGATCTTGCCCTGCTTAATTCAGCTCCCATTGTTGAATCTGAACCTGGCTAAGACTAAATAGAAACTTGTGTCAATTTTTGGACTTCCCTCTTCCACTGGGAAACTCAGGAAACTAGAAATATCCCTCGTATAATCTATTCCAGCCTCCAAACTCAGCAACCTATCCCCTGATAATTACAGTAATTACCACAACAGCTAACGTTTGCCTAACATATTCTTGTATGCAAAGTACTTTTACACATGCTATTTTTCATAAGAATTCTACAATGTTTTCAGCCCCATTTAACAAAGGAATAAACTGTGGCACAGAGATAGTAAGTGGAATTTTCCCAGTTACGTAGTGAGCAAGCGGTAGAAGGGGAACCTACACCAGGGCCTATTGACTCATACCCAGTCCAGTCTTCTTTCCGCCACCGCCCACTCTCCCAAATCTGTAAGGCTCATTTTCCTCTAACGTTGCATTTCATTTGTATGTTGATCACTTTGTGCTCACATTATATTGTCCAACTCCTGCTCCTTCCGCCATTCCCCCACGCCACGCTGGGCCAGGTAGCTTTATGCAGATCAGCAACGGATTGACCACTGGCCTCCAAGTCTGGAGATCCAGATTTTAAGTTCTGGCTCTGCCACTAATGAGGGTTGTGACTTTGAGTCGGTTACCTCACTTTTCTGCCTCACTTTTCCAATATGAAGGTGATAAATTGGGTGATCACTGGAGTCACTTTTAGCTCTAGAACTACGATCCTTTGATGTAATTCCTGGTTGGGCTCTCTCTTGGGGAGGAACAATTTTCCAAGTCAATGGGAAATTCACTCTTGCACTATAATTGCCATCCGGAGCTTGGGCTGAGAAGGGTGAGCATTTAGCTAACTGCTCCAGAGATGATAGGAGGTCCCTGTCCCCACCTCTGCCTGAATAGGTCCCTTCATTCCTGGCTTCTTTAATCTGTCCTGCAACACGCTGTGACCTCTTTTGGGTAGGATTATAGGCTCCCAAAGGCCTCAGTCCTTGATCCTCTTTGACCAATGATTATTGCCCAACCTAGTACCAGACAGGCTGGCACTTCCCTGATCTCCTCAGGATGTCTGTGAGCCCAGGCAGAAGGTTATTCACAATCCCCAGTGCTAGGGAGACCCAGGGCCCCCTCCCCGCAGCTGCTCCCGGCTGTCTGGCTGAACAATGCCGATTCTGTCAGGTCTCTCGGCTGAGCCTTCCTGCAGTGGGTATTCGGGTTGCAGTATTAACTGGAGGCATCTCAGCTGCTTCCTGTTCCTTGAGTCTCAACACAGATTCCTGAGCAAAGACAATCAGCCTGGCTCTGCATCTGACCAGAGCCCCCAGCAGTTGGGGTTGGGGTAGGAAAGATGAAAGAGCTTTGCCGTCATCTCAGAGCAGGAAGTCAAACCTCCTCGGCTGGAAGGGACCCCAGGGACCAAGTGCCCCTTGGACACTGCTCCCAGACATGTCAACCAGGCACAGGGATGAGACTGTAGCTCAGTTCTCAATCTTTGGGAAGGTAACTCTGCAGCCTCCTAGGTCAATTCTTTGAGGACAAAAGTCTGTTAACCACTCTGCTCTCTGCAGCCAAACCACTTGTACAGACTAGTGGTATTATTTATACCAGCGTGAACTCCCCACCTCAGCAAGGCGCAGCCTCCTGCCTGTCTCCCCTGCTTACTGTCCCCTCCATTATGAAGCAAGTGCTGTCCCACACTCATATGTCCTTCCCCATTTCCACTGCCACTCCAGTCTTTTGTTGGCATCACACCTCTGCTATGAGACTTATCGTCTCCCTAAAACTGCTGTGACTAATGCCATGAGACCCTAGCTAGGCTATGCATTCTCATTCTCTTTTCTTCCAGATTTCTTTTCTCTTTCAAGACAGAGTCTCGTTTTGTCATCCAGGCTGGAGAGCAATGATGTGATCTCTGCTCACTGCAACCTCTACCTCCTAGGTTCAAGTGAGTCTCATGCCTCAGCCTCCCAAATTGAGTAGCTGGGACTACAGGTGTGTGCCACCATGCCCTGCTATTTTTAGGAGAGACAAGGTTTCGCTGTGTTGACCAGGCTGTTCTCAAACTCCTGACCTCAAGTGATCCACTGCCTTGGCCTCCCAAAGTGCTGGGATTACAGGCATGAGCCATTGTGCCTGGCCTTTTCCCAGACTTCTAAATACTAAGTGCTTACCTGACAATTTTTGCCTACGTAGTGACCTTTGTATATTCTCTCTCTCTCTCTTTCTTTCTCTCTGTTTTTTTTTTTTTTGGCTTATGTTAGTGTCTCTCTAACCTACTCCATAAACTGGGAGCTCCTCCGCTGTACAGACCAAGTCTTCTCCCTCTCTCTGAACTATTGCTGATGCTTGCTTTCTGATTATCGACCATCAGGAAGTCCCACCTGACAATTAACCCTCTGTCTACAGCTGAATCCCATTTCCTGTTTGGTTGGCGCCTGGAAATGTGATAAGGCTTTGACCAGCTGCCACCATATTAGCTGGTCCCCAAGGCCAATTTGGGGATATAAAGAAGAATATGACTCCTATTACTTACATAGTGTTTCAGAAATGCCCCGGAGTAGAAGCAATGGTCCTTGCACCCGGATCCACTGTAACCCTCTTCTTTTGCACCCGGCATCCTGGCTTGCCAGACGGCAGTTCTAGTAAGATGCATTGTGTAATGAGGAATGTAGCTCAAGGCCAGTCACATGAGATACTGTGGAAGGGCAGCAGCCAGGCAGGGGACACAGAGGCTCAGCAGAGGAAGACACCAGCCAGGTGGCCAGCTCCATCCTCTGCTGTCTTCATAAACAGGCTGGTTTCTTTAAGGTTTTTTCTTAAGTTCTAATGAAAAACAAGTTGGAGCCATGACTGGAGGCGGGGTGAGGGCTGCAGAGCAGAGTTTATGGGCACTCGCATTTTCTTACCGGCTCCCTCCTCACACATTCCTCTGCATTTTCCCCTTTATTAACGTGGCATCTTTCCCAGGACACTTTATGGGACTGTGTGTTTTTACTTATGCCCTGATTGGGGTTGATCGTGTCTCTCCCTATGAAGAGCCCTCAGATCTTGCGCAAGGCCTCCCCTGCATCCCGTGCAAGGGTGCAGGCCGTTCTTTCTCTCCGGGGCTTCTGGGCTTATCTCATAACTGGTCCCCAAGGGCTCCACTGTGTTTTCCACCACACAAGGCACTCTTCTGCCTTAAGGTCACACCTCTTTTTGACTCCAAATTAGATAAGACACCCCAGCTAGCTTCCTCACTCCACTCCGAAGTGACTCCTGGCACTTGTCCCCAAATTAAATCTGCCCCCGAGGATGAAGAGGAAGATTTGCCACACTGGAGATTTTCAAAGGAAAGTGCCTCGCGCCCTGAAGGCCATTGCCCAAGAGGAGCTCTGAAAATGTTTTGAGCAATAGCAGCCCTGATAGAACACAGCTTTCCGAGGGCCCGCTTTCAAAGGCATGGCACGCTTCACGGAGAGTCAAGCTTTGGCGTGTTTATTAAAAAAGACACTCGTGTTGCTTTCAGGAACGCCGTGCTCTTAGCTCTTCTTTTCTCTTTAGCTCAGTTCCAAGAGGGGCTGGGACTGAGGTTTGGAACTTACTTGCTCTCCTTCAGCCCCGTTTTAGAAATGTTTCCACCTATCTGTCTCCTGTTAGCTGGGAGACTGCTCTGTTCCACTCGGACATGAAGCGGCAGGCTTGGTGACAGCCCTGTGATCTTTGAAAACATCCACTCTGGGAGTTGCAGTTTCTTCTTCTGTAAAATGGAGAAAGTAATACACATTCTGCAAGGCTGAGAATGAAATGGAGCGATGTCTGTAAGAGGCCTGGCATGTAAAGGCCTTCAGTAAATGGTAGGGATTTTTGTTATTAGTACTATTACCAATATTAAGCAATTAGCCAACACATATTGATCTCTTTGAGAATCTGCTTTTGTTCCCTGGTCCCTCCCCTCATTCATCCAGGCCTTCTCCCACTGCAATCCTTTCTTTCTGGAATGTCTGCGGACAACACAACATCAAACTCCCCACTCCTGGCTCCAGGGCAAGAATCTCTGAGTCCTTTGGGAAGTGCAGTGCTAGGATCATTTTCCTGTTGTCAGCAGGCTCTGGAAGAGGCATTAGCCCCACAAGGCTTGATGTGGGAAGTTTTTACAGGTATCACTCATCTGGTGGGCAGATGTAGCTTGCAGCAGGATAGAGCTCTGTCTTCCAGATGGGGGGGTGCCTGGGAGTCTTGAGGTAGGACTGGTTCCTCTCTGCTTGGAGCCAGCATGGGCATACACAGGGGCCTGTCACCTCCTTCAACAGCCCTGGGATCCTTGAGTCAAGTTAGCCCCTGAAATTCACATCCTGGAAACAGCTGACTATGCCTCTATCATCTCCATTCCCCGCAGCCCTGACCTCTGCCATCCCCCAACACACAGACACACACACAGTGTTATTTCCAGGGAAGAAGAGGATAGTCCTGGTCAATAGCCCTGGACACATTGGAGGTTTCCCCACAAGGTAAGAGTTTCATTCATTCCGACAATTCTCAAGGTGGCGAAAGAGGATGCAGAGGGCTTCTCAAGGTAGGGTTACCCCACAGCATTTGAGCATTTTCCTAAAGGAAGATGATGGGAGGTAGTATCCAGCAGTGGCTCAATTCTCCTCCCCTATTCATCCCTTTGAACATCAGCAGTCCCTAATTCTCTACTCCAAAGCCCTAACTCTGCCTTGATAGAGTGGGGGTGTGCCTAGCCCATTAGTAGCCACTGTCCAGCCTTTTATTGTTCGGGCTTTTTGCGGGGACCTTTATGAGAAGATGCTCCCAACCTCATCACATCTGGTCAAAGTGCTTTTAGTCACAAGGGGCAGAACTCTGTTCACAGGAACACATATAAAAAGCAGATATAGAGACAGTTATGAGGGATACGAGACTTTGATTAAACAAAGTGCCCGGCCTCGCCGTTCTCGCTCCTCCTGGCCTGAGGTCTCTTGGCCCAGCCTTTCTCTTACGTGACTTCAGTTTGCCTACAGTTTCTTTCATAACAGGGCCCTCACAAGTCCTCATTGATCATGACATTTTAGTTGAGCTCCCTAGGACCAAATGGCCACAGAGGCTGGTTTTAAGTTTCAAACTCTTAAGAGAGAAAAACGATGGTTGTTTCTTGCCGACACATTGGCTGACCTTGGATACTCAGTGGACATAGAAACAACTATGAAGGATATGAGACTTGGATTAAACAAAGTGCCCAGCCTCATCCTTTTCGCTCCTCCTGGGCTGCAGTCTCTGGCCCAGCCTTTCTTTTTCGTGACTTAGGTTTGCCTACAGTTTCATGACGTGGCCCTCACAAGTCCTCCTTGATTATGACATTTTAGTTGAGCTCCCTATGACTAAATGGCTACGGAGTCTGCTTTTTAATTTCAAAGTCTTAAAAGAGAAAAACTGGATAGCTGTTTTCTTGCCAACACATTGGCTGGCCTTATTCCTGGTCAAGTTGGACGTGGCTGAGGAGCAGAGCATGTGGTATGAAACAGATAAGGTAGCAGGGGCTGAAAGTGGGAAACGAGTTCTCCGAGAAGCAGCCCAAGCTGGTAGTCCACCCAAGGTGTGCCTAATGTGCCCCCCTGTCTGGTTCTGGGGTTTATCTGAGGAACAGGTAGTAGCCATCCTCAGTGACTCTTCTGTCTCAGTGGAGGCTGGGCTTGGATTTCAAAGGCCAGGGAAGCAGCAGCTCCACCGATGCAGCTGCCACCTCCACAACATGCTAGAGACATGGTGACATTTCTCCTAAGAGCACTTACGGGACAGTGTCCTGTGAAAACAGCGCTGGACTGGGAGTCGGGAGTTATGACTTCTGACCCAGATCGGCTGCCAACCCCCTTGACCTCGAGGAATTGACCTTCTTCTTCTAGGTCTTAGACTCTCCAGAAGTTAAAAAATAAAATTTAAAACGAATAATAATAATAATAAATGGTGTTGTGAAATCATCTCCAGGGTTCTTTTCAATCCCTAAGATTTCCCTCAGCCTCCCCACCTCCACTTGACAGCTTCCCAGAAATGCTTCCAAACGGAGCTCTTTCACCCATGACTTGGTGGAGCCTCTGCCAGCTGCCTCTCTCCCACAACACATCCCATCCCTGTGATAAGTCCTTCTCAGGAGCTTTCCAGCCTAAACCTGCAGCCTTTCAAGAAAGTCCAGGCAGGGCCTTCCCAGGCAACTGATTTCTGAGCTTGTTAGAGGCAGAGGATGGGGTCTGAGCATTTGCTGTCTGGCCACACCAAAGAGGGAAGTCTGGGCCTGAAGATGCATCCACGGGTTCCAGATTGGTGATCAGGGCCTGGGAGACCAAGGGAAGCTCCAGAAGAAGGGTCAGCAAAAGCCCCAGAGAAACGTGGACAATGAGTGGAACAGAGCTGGAGAGGAAGAGCGGAAAACACTGGGTTCCCAGGGGAGGGGGGCAGGGATGAGGGAAATAGTTTGTGTCTTTTGGCAAGAAATGAATAACATTCAAAGAATATGCAAAATGCCATTCTAATCGGCACCTGTTCCCTTTGGAGCCAGTCGCTCGGCCCACAGTATCTGAGGGTGAGTCTGGTTTGGGTCTCCCCAGGGGAGGAAATATAGCACATTGAGATCCACTTGAGTGATGAGAGTGGCATTGATCCTAAGTGGGGTGAAGGAAAGAAAGGTGCCCTCAGCCTCCATTGCTCCCTCTCAGTCCCAAATGCTCTCTCACAACCCCCCACCCCAGCTCAACCCCAGGCAGATGGCTGCAAATTTTGCAGGGGCCTCTGAGCATTCCCTTGGCTAATAGCCACATTCCAGAACAGCATATGTTTCATCTCAAACACACAAGGTTTGCACTTCCAACTGGAGCCAAAGAGAAAACCTTGGCCCAGGCTGCGAATTTCTTAGGAGAGGTGGGGGTCAAGAGCAGCCCCCAGGGAGGGCGTAGCTGTTATGTTGAAGAACATTTGAGTTCGAGTTTGTGCAAAGCTACCTCCCAAATCAGTGACACCCGCATTCCTAATTTATAAATCCTCAAAGTACCTACCTGGAGAAGGAGCGAGCAGCGCTGCTTCCTCTCGCTGTCGCCCAAATGGCACTCATGCCACCTGCACGTTCCTCCAACCCCGTACCAGCCCTGCACCTTTGCCTGACTTCATGGCCCCTTCTGAATCAATAATTCACAGGCTATGGCTGGGTGGAGTCTGGGGCGGGGGAGGAAAGAGGGTGACTCCTGATCTCACTCTTATGTTAAAAAATGCCTGGACCTCATCTGTACTGGCTCCCATCTCCGCACTCAGATTTATTTGGCTGCTGAAAGACACCAAGTCTGGAGGAGAATTTAGGAAGGACAGGCTGAGCTGAGTGGAAAAGAGGAGTAAGGCAAGGGAGAAACACGAAGTCATGAGCTGGAGGTGGGGGGGCAGAGGTGTAGAAAGGGACGCAGAAGGGTCTTAGTGGGAAGAGGAAGAGGTGTGCTGTCTCCTGGCGGGTGGGGAATTGGGGGGACGGTGGGAGTCCTGGTCCTCTGGGGGTTCTGCTCTGTGGTAAGCTAAGGGATTTCTGACAGCAAAGTAAACTGTGGTGTGCTGAGTTTACCCAGCTCCAATAAGCAGTGCTGGAGTGTTTAATGTTTCCTTCCCGCTGAACTGGTTGACAGGCACGGAACCGTGGCCAGCCCCTTGCTGCCTCTTGGGGAGGTAGTAGGTGGGGAGGTTAGTACAGAGCTGTCAGGAAAGCTGGCATCGCTGACCCTAACCCAGGATATAGAGGTTTGGGTGAACGCTGGAGATTTCCCCTCACATAGGCCCAAAGTTCCCATCAAGGAGGAAGAGCCTGAAATACAAGTCACCTCCCTATCCCAACCATCCCCTCCCAGCCAGTGCGCACCAGCCCCCCCGTGCTCTGCAAAACACAGCCATTTATTTCTTTCATCATGTTCAGCTTTATTAAATGCCTGCCTATGGGGTTGCAGCCTTAAACAGCCGTGCTTATGCGGATGGATGCAGAGGACAGACACACAGACCACAAAATAAATCAGGAAGACACCAGAGCTCAGCGCCCGAGTACAAAATAAACTATGCCTGGCGGGATGCCCAGCACGATGTGCTGGTGGCTTTTGTGCTAAGTAAGGATGAATGGGTTGAGGGATAGGGAAAAATAACTTTCTTTTCTTTCAATCCAAGGAGACTCCTGGGAAGAAGCTAGTGGGTGCAAAACTCTTTAGACAGGCTGGAAGAAAAAGTTCAGACAGAAAGGATGAGAGGGAGTTGAGTGGACACAAGCACAGGGGAGGGTAAGAGAACCAGGCGACGGTGCATCCAGACAGCGGGTGCATAAAGGGCACAGAACAGCTTAGAAAAAGGACATGGGGAAGGTCGGAGTGGGCTTTGGGCATAGAGCCAGAAGCTGTCCAGAACTGCGGCAGAGAGCCCTGAGCTAAGGCTGCGTCCTCCCCATCCCACTAGCAGAGAATTAAAGGTACACTCTGGACCTACAGAGTAAGTGGAGGGGGCCAGGTGCTGGGGAATGGAAGGAGCCACAATGACACCGAGGAGCACCCCAGGTGGATGACCAGGGCATGGGAATCCTCATTAAGCAATGAGCACGAAGAGGGAGGGGGAATGTGACAAGATTATCAAGGTGTGCACAGCAGGGTGAGGGAGCCACCTGGATGAAGATGCTTAAAATAGAATAAATAAATAAATAAATAAGCTAGCAGGGGTCATCATGGTTTGTGAGTCAGAGGAGAGAGTTTGAGGATACTGCTCCGAGTAATGGTGGGCTATGTGTAGGTATGTAGAGGTGACACTGCTGCTAAGATCTTTATGCAATTTCAGTCATGTTTTCTTTGAGCTCAAGGCCTGCATTCCTACCAAAAAATATTTAGAAATAGCCACCCCCGGCCGGGCGCGGTGGCTCAAGCCTGTAATCCCAGCACTTTGGGAGGCCGAGGCGGGTGGATCACTACGTCAAGATATTGAGACCATCCTGGTCAACATGGTGAAACCCCGTCTCTACTAAAGATACAAAAAATTAGCTGGGCATGGTGGCGCGTGCCTGTAATCCCAGGTACTCTGGAGGCTGAGGCAGGAGAATTGCCTGAACCCAGGAGGCGGAGGTTGCGGTGAGCCGAGACTGCGCCATTGCACTCCAGCCTTGGTAACATGAGTGAAACTCTGTCTCAAAAAAAAAAAAAAAAGAAAAAAGAAATAGCCACGCCCTTGGCCAGGTGTGGTGGTTCACACCTATAATCCCAGAACTTTGGGAGGCCAAGGCAAGTAGATCCCTTGAGCCCAGGAGTTGGAGACCAACCTGGGACACATGGCCAAACCCTGACTTTATTAAAAATATAAAAAATTAGCCAGGAGAGGTGGCTTTTACCTGTAATCCCAGATACTCGAGATGCTGCAGTGGGAGGATCACTTGAGCCCAGGAGGTCAAGGCTGCAGTGAGCTGTGATGGCACCACTGCACTCCAGCCTGGGTGATGGAACCAGACACTGTCTCAAAAACATAAAAATTAAGATAAAATAAAATAAAAATAGCCCCCCTAAAACCAGAGAGTACAATAGTCTAGTAGCTTTCAAATGCACCTTGGAGCCTATTTGAAGGCTACAAGCCTATTCTATTCCCTGCATTTCTACAAAAAAAAATGTATAAATACCCTCTAAAAGCAGAGAGTAGAATAGACTAGTAGCTTTTGAATAGGCTCCAAGGTGCATTGGTGGTTCCTTAGATGCCAGCACAGGGTAGTGGGAGGGAAGAGGGTGGCAGGTAGCAGGGAGAAAGCTCACAGCAGGCAGGATTATCATCACCATGTCCAGGCCCCATTTCAACTAGAACAGCTCAACTTTATCTGTAGTATATGTGTATACATTGTGTAAGATTTCTTTGAAAGGAAAGCTTACCATTGTAAGCCTGTAAAAGAATAGTTTGAAAGCCACTAAGGTATAATTTGGAATTCCCCACTAGCTTAAAGAGTGGTCATTCCCAAAAGAAAGCAGCAGTGAGCACACACACAACTTTTGGGCACAGTTCCCAAATTGAAATCTCCTGGTCTGTTGTCAAATCATTTGTTCTCATTCTTTTGTTCAAAGGAAAAATTATGATCAGCATAAGGAACTGGAACTCTCCCCTCTTTTCATTTGGTCCAGGAATGGGAGACACACACAGCACAGGTTCTGCCATGTCTCCAGCGTGTGTGCCCACGACAGGCACCATGAGCCAGTTATTACACTCTCTCAACAATTACAACAACACAGTCTTGGGCTACCCCCAATCCGGACAAATTGATACATGAGTTGAAACCTCTCTGCTAGACCAGATTTGGTTGGCTGACTCTAAGAATGTCAGCTAAAAGGTCCCTAGCCATCCCAACATCCTTCCTGGCTCCTGGATCTGTGGGACAAGGGGCTGGCCATATTCTTTTTATTTATTTATTTAAATTTTACATTAAGTTCTGGGGTACATATGCTGAACATGCAGGTTTGTTACATAGGTATAGATGCGAGATGGTGGCTTGTTGCACCTATCAACCGTCTAGGTTTTAAGCCCTGCAAGAATTAGATATTTGTCCTAATGCTCTCCTTCCCCTTGTCCCCCACCCTCACCCCAATAGGCCCCAGTGTGTGACATTCCCTTCCCTGCGTCCCTGTGTTCTTATTGTTCAACTCCCACTTATGAGTGAGAACATGCGGTGTTTGGTTTTCTGTTCCTGTGTTAGTTTGCTGAGAATGATGGCTTCCAGCTTCATCCATGTCCTTGCAAAGGACATAAACTCATTCTTTTTTATGGCTGCATAGTATTCCATGGTGTCTATGTGCCACATTTGCCTTATCCAGTCTATCACTGTTGGGCATTTGGGTTGGTTCCAAGTCTTTGCTATGGTGAATAGTGCTACAATAAACATACGTGTGCATGTGCCTTTAGAGTAGAATAATTTATAATCCTTTGGGTATATACAAAGTAACAGGATTGCTGGGTCAAGGATCTAGGACTAGCCATATTTTTAACAGGCCAAGTAGGCCGGGCCTTAACTTGGGGGTTAAGGCCTTCACACTTCTTGTTAGCTGCCTTGGCCCTAGAGAAAGATGCTTACAACCTAGGAAGAATAGGGCCATTCCCTACACCTTGCCATACATGCAGGGTTCAGGGACTGCTACCATACGTGACTCACTTTGTATCTTCAGACTCTTCCCATCTGTTTATTCTCTAAAAATATATATGCGTGAGAAAAAGAAGCTCAGGAAAAACTGTAAAGGACTTTGAACTTGTTGAAAGAAAAGTTTAAAAAGGGGTCGAGACAGAACTGGATTCCAAATGCAAAGCTGGAATGGGAAAGAAGAACTCTCCGGAGGCATCCAGTGGGAATGCAGGCAGAGGGAGGCACGTCGGAGCCCAGGGATGGTCCGAAAGGTGGCCACTGTAAACGAAACAAGACAGAAAGATGAAATGCTTATGCGAACGCTGGGGAGGTGGGAGGGGCATGAATTTGGCTGATGGTCTTCCACTATTTATTTATTTATTTTTAGAGACAGAGTTTGACTCTGTCGCCTAGGCTGGAGTGCAGTGGTGCAATCATATCTCACTGCAGCCTCTGTCTCTGGGGCTCAAGCAATCCTCCTGCCTCAGCTGCCTAAGTAGCGGGGACTCAGGTGCACACCACCACCATCATACATATATATTTTTTGTAGAGATAGAATTATTGTTTTTTTGTTTTTTTGGTTTTTTTTGAGATATTGCTCTGTCACCCAGGCTCGAGTGCAGTGGAGTGCAGTGGTGCGATCTTGGCTCACTGCAACCTCTGCTTCCTGGGTTCAAGTGATTCTCCTCCCTCAGCCTCCTAAGTAGCTGGGATTATAGGCACCGGCTACCACGCCTAGCTAATTTTTGTATTTTTAGTAGATACGGGGTTTCACTGTATTGGCCAGGCTGGTCTCGAACTCCTGAGCTCAACTGATCCACCCGCCTCGGCCTCCCAAACTGCTGGGATTACACGTGTGAACCACCATGCCTGAAGGGACAGAATCTTACTATGTTACCCAGGCTGGTCTCGAACTCCTGGCCTCGAGGGATCCTCTCACTTTAGCCTCCCAAATCACTGGGATTACAGGTGTGCCGGCCTCAACTTTTTAAACAAGCAGTTACCTTTTCAGAAGACATCTCCCTCAGATTCCCCAGGATGTCAACTGGTAAAGGAGCTACTGTAGTTTGATGTGCAGAAGAGGCCTCCCTACACCAGCTCTGCATCCTCCTTCGGGACTGGGACTCAGGGAAGCACAGTTACTGTCTGAGGTCACCCAGCTAGGAAGTGGCTCAGCGGGGCTTAGAACTCACCCGTGTTGATGACCGAGGGTCCCACACCCTCTCAGGAACAAGACACACCCACCGCTTTGCTTTCCTCACCCTGTGTGCCCAGTGTCTGGGGTGGGTCTGGCACCCAGAAGGCCTTCATGTGAGTGTTGGTGGAAGGCTGCTTCCGCTGTAGCCGTCCCTGGCATTGACGGCCTCGCAGGTCATCAGGCCCTCTTGAGGAAGTTTTCTGTGCCCGAGTCTACTTCAGCCCGCCGCTCTGGGTGCCCTCTCAAAGGCCAGTCCCTCTGGGATGTGTGTTGCAATGGGGGTTGGGCGGGCACCCTGGACATCGCCAGGGGAGGTCTTTCACCTCTCCTTTTCTGAGGGACTTCTGGAAATGAGGCATCGTCTGCACAGCATCGTTCCTGCCCTTACTTGGTCAGGGAGCTGTGATGCAGCCCAGAGACCCCATAGTCTTTTCCTCCCCCCACTCGCCTCTCTGTGTACCTTGAGCACAAACACTCAGGAGAGCTCGCGGAGACACGAGTTCCAGCAGGAAGGAGGGGGTGTCCTGGGGGCCCAGGGAGAGAAGGCCCTGTCATCTCTGGGGGTGGCAGGTCTCCCCTTTGCTCAGACCCCTCCCTCACATCCTCCTATCTTCTTCAGGATCCCACTCTCCCACCCCATCATCCCTCTGCACAGACCTGCCAAGTTTGGGACATGAGAACACGCCAGGTCCCCTCTGGGGAGCCCGGGGTGGGCGTAGCCCGGCCTGGCTGGGCCTCCAGGTTGGCCTGCCCTGGCCCCTGGGTTTAATAAACTCCGAGAGAGGTTTTCAAAGGCCACTTGATCTTCCCCATCAGGCAGCCCCTGTCTCCCTTTCAGAGCCGGGGGACTGGAAAGAAAAAACGCTCAATGAACAAGGCGGCCAGAGAAAGCCGAGCGGCAGGGCACCTTCTATGAATTTCTGATGAGCGCACGGCCCTGACTCCCGGGTCCGGCCCAGTGCAGTCAGGGATGTTAGTTTAAGTCATTTCGCACGGTTCACTGGCTCTCTGAGAGCAGCTTGTCTCCAGCCTGGGCCTCTCTAACAAGCTCTTTTTACTCGGGGCTTCTCCGAGCACAGACCTCAAACAATAGCAGCTTTCAAGGGGCTGGGCCCTCCTCTGGCAGCTTCCTTGTCCCAACCCCAGCCAAGCCCAGCCTCTATCCTGGCTGCCCACCTGAGCACCCCCACCTGCAGCCTGACCCACAGCACATTCAGGGAAGACTCGCCCGCTCCCTCCTTCCTTCTCCCTTCCTTCCTTTCCTGTCTTCCTTCCTGCTCCCCTTGCCTCCCTCCCTCCCTCCTTTTCTTCCTTCCTGCCTGCCTTCCTTCCTGCCTCCCTCCCTCCCTCCTGTCCCTGCCCTTTCTTACTGTAAACAGGGCAGGAGTGCGCAGTGGTGCTCTCAGGAGCAGGCCAGGCTGCCACACAACTCTAGAACACTGCGTGGATGGCATCCCCTGGGGCTGTGCAGAGAAGAGGCTCCATTTCCTCCTCCCTTTAGTCCAAGGAGGAAGCTGGCTTCCTCCACACTGAAGGCTGTCACCTCCCCCACAGGGCTCAGACCTGGTGGGGTTGATGCAGGGGCCTCCAAGAAGCGTGAAGCTGGCACGGAGGGGCACTGGCCGCATCGTCCCCCTGCAGAGGGGGCTCCCCAGAAATGGGAGGGACCGCGGCTCTCACCATTCCAGACCTCTCCATCTTCCCCATTCCCGATTTTCTCCATTGTCCTCCCTGTTCCTCAGGGCAATGATGAGACAACTTCAGTCCTCCCTACCTGCCTCTGGCCTTCTTGCTAGCTAAGGGGTTTTAGGAAGAGACTCCTGGGAAGAAGAGGTTAATTAATCAGCGGATGAGTCATTTGCATGTTTAGACTAGACCTCCGGCCAAAGCAAACAAACAAACAGAGTTTATACTGAGACAAGTCAGTATTTGACTTCTTCATGAGAGTGCCTTGCCAGTTGAATGCTTTGATGGTGACCTTTGACCTGGGAGCTTTGGAAGGCATTTGAACTGCCATCCCATGGACATTGCACTTTGGGAGGGGCTCCAACCCCACTACTAAAGCACCTGCCAGCAATTAAGTTTCCCTCCCCTGGGATCTAGGCCCCGCCTCTGGGGCCATGGGGTCTGTCACCTTTCAGGAGACCCAGGTAGCCCAGGACATCTTTCTTTCTGGAAGCCGCTAGAGAAAGCCCAGTTTCATGTCCCCTTTGCAAACTCCCCACACTAATAACCCACCTTCTTCAGGAAGTGAAGTCTGATCAGTGATAGGCTGGTGAGAGGAGAGAACAAGAAACTGGGGACAGGACCCCAATCCCAGCTATACCTTCAACCCCTGTTTGCTGTATGACTTTGGTGAGCATTCCTGTTCTCCAGCCTGACTTCCTCATGACAGTGTGGGACTGGATTTCTTTCTTTTCTGTTCTTTCTTTCTTTCTCTCTTTCCCTCTCTTTCTCTCTTTCTTTCTTCTTTCCTTCTTTCTTTCTTTCTTTCTCTCTCCCTCTCTCTCTTTCTTTCTTTCTTTCTTGACAGAGTCTCAAAGTTCAGAGTCTAAAGTGCAGTGACTTGATCTCAGATCACTGCAGTCTTGGCCTCCTAGGCTCAGGCAATGCTCCCTTCTCAGTCTCCCGAGTAGCTAGGACAACAGGCACACACCACCACACCCCGCTAATTTTGAAATTTTTGTAGAGACAGGATTTCGCCATGTTGGCCAGGCTGGTCTCAAACTCCTGTTCTCAGGTGATCCATCTGCCTAAGCCTTCCAAATGCTGGGATTATAGGTGTGAGCCACCACTCCTGGCCCCGTGTTTCTTAAGAGTTTAGTTCTCACTTGTCCAGTTTCAGAATCCCCTGGAGGACTCAACAAAAATACAGATTTCAAGTCCCCTCCCCAGACCCACCAAGGCAGAAATTCTAGGGGTAACGCACGGTCTGCATTTGAACACATGCCTGAGGTGAGTTTTAGGCCCACCAACCACTGTCCTAGTTGGTCCCAAACTACAGCTTTAGCTGAAAATCTGTCACTTTAGCCCTATTCAGGGTAGATTTTCCAGTAAGCTAATGGCCTTTGCACAGGCTCTTTGCAAGTTCCTGAGAGGAATCCTGGTACATTTGTGTTCATACTTGTGAATTCTTCTACTTAAAAAGAGTTCCCACTACCACCACCACATTGTAAAAGCTCAGGCCCCGCCAAGCCTGGCCTTGCTCCCGGCTGAACAGTTAATTGGTGATTTTGTATTGGGCCTGAAGTTTTGCCACAACTCACCCCTCTGACAAGTTCATCTTCAGTTTCTCTTGCATTCCGTATCCTTAGAGAGTCCAGTGTTCTTTGCACAGTGACAGCCATCATATCATCTCTGTCACTTCTACTGAAATCCCAAAGGTCGAATTTCAGTGACCCATTATGGCCAGAGGTAGAAATAATTCCAGAAACAGAAGTGTCTCAGGATGGCTGCTGACCCCAAACCCAGACTCTATTCATCAAAAAAGGTTCATTCCCAGGTGTTGAGACTGGTCAGACCAGGCCAGGTCAAGAAAGTCAGGACCCGTTTTTAAACCAATTGGCCATTCTTCACATCAAACCAGATTTAGATTCAAATCTTGACTTGGCCTCTTATCAGCTGAGTGATGCTGAAGCCTCAGATTCCTCCGTGATGAGGAGGTGAGGATCCTGTATCCAGGGCTGTGGTGAAGGTGTGGGGACAGTGGATGTAAAAGTGCAATTATAAAATATTGCTCATTGGGCAATATGGAAGCAGAGGGGCCTTGACACCACCAGTGCTCTTGAGTTTGCATGGACGATGCGAAATCCTTCCAACGCAGCTCTGTTGCAGAGACGGGACCAAGGCCCCCTACAGACCATGCTCTTAGGGGTAGAGTGCTGCTTAGCCCTGTCCACCACCCCTCATCACAGGGACTAAACAGTACCCTGGTGTGCACTGTGCTCCCTTCCTTCCTTAGTGTGGGCCACAGAGCTGGGCAGGGAAGCAGAAGGGGGAGAACAGGATGTGGGTGGAGAGCCTCTCTGCTCCCCGACCCCCTGCAGCCCTGGGCAATTCAGGAGGAGGAGGAGAGGGAGGAGGGGGAGGAGGGGGAGGAGGGAGGAGGGAAGAGGAGGAAACCACATCTGGTTTGAGTGAGGCTCCCAGCCAGGCGCACAGGGCCCTTAGCTGGTAGGAGAGGAAGCAGGGAGGGCTGGCATGGGCCTTGGCCAATCTAGGAGAGCAGAGGGAAAGTGGTTGGTGTTTGGGGAAAGCAAATAAACAGAGGGGTTGAGATGATAATCATAAAGAGAAGAGCCATTAAAGTGAAGAATAGAGATTGTGTCACACCCAAGACAAACAGAAAATAAACAGCCAGTAGATCCCCTCTGCAGATGTTTGGCACTGAGTGAAGACAGATTAAAGATGCATGGAAGATGCCTAAGTCAACCAAGCCTCCAGCAGCAGCAGCTGGAGAGCAGGTGGACAGAAGCCCCAGCCAGAGAGGTCTTCAAGGCTGAAGGAGAGCCAGCCCCAGAGACCACAGCATCCTCCAGAAGCCAGCACCTGCAAGTGGGGGGTGGGAGTAGAGGAAGATGCCATCCCTCCCTGGACAGGGCTGGGTGCCTCTGTCGGTGCAGTCCCCTCCGCCTCCTGCAGCACCAAGTCCCCCAGCACCCAGACGGAGTAGGTTCTTCAAGTGGCTTCATAGAAATCCTGCCCCTTTGCTGCTTTGCCACAGGCCCATTTCAATGACTCTTCAAGGACCTGGTCGTTTTTCTTCTTGGCATCTGGCTTCTGAGCTGACCTTTGTCCTGTCCCAGTGGGAGGGTGAGGGAGCTTAGCATGGGGAGGCACTGCACCCCCATTGACTAAATCTTCTACTCTGGGTGTCTGGCACCGCGACAGGCACCTTGGGGGTTACAAAGATGCATAAGACACATTCCTTCTCCAAAGATATTTACGATCTGGGATAAAGGAAACTCAAAGTTTTTGAGTGTCCATTTCGTAATCGTGCTGTTCTCTGCCTTCGAATGGTCTGCCTTATTTATTCTTCAAAGTAATCCTGTTTGGTAAAAATTATTCCTCCATTATTCCTAACCAGGAGGAAGCTGAGGATTAGAGAGATTTGGTGCTGTTTCTACGGTTACAAAGCTAGGAATGGTTGATCTGGTACTCAACCCAAAGTCCAGTGCTCTTTCTCCGACGCCATAAACAACCGTAAGATGAAGCAGAATTTGACAACAACCGAAGAAAAACACGTGCTCTTAAAAGAGACAAGAAAGAGTTCTCCTGTCTCACGTCCACCCCTGCCCCCTTAATGAGAACCAAACTTCATCTTTCTGTTCTATGAGCCAGCAGGGAGGAGCCAGCACATCCCATGCCCAGCCAGGGCCAAGTGCCTGCAGGTGTCTGAGGAATGCTAATGGCCGTGAATGGGGGGAGGATGTGCACAGGCTCTTCTGCAGCATTTGCTTCCCATTAAGCCTGCTCCCCTTCCTCTCCAGACCCTCCTACCCCCTCCAGCAACATGCAGCTTTCATGAGCCAATTATCATGCCCAGATTTTTCTGTTCCTCTGAAGCCACTGACACTGCTAACCAGGCACAGATGCAGTAGGGCATGCCCCTGCTGTCCACTTCAAGGACCACAGGTAGAGACAGGAAGGTTGGATAGTCCAATTTCAACTCAGCCCCCAACAGGAAGGAGAGGCCTCAAAGGGCAATATAGTGATTATGAGTGGATTTCTGAGTGGAATAGGATCAGCTGGGTAACTTTTGCCTGGCCAGGACTAAAGAGTCATGGACAGGGCAGGGGATCCAACTGGGAAGAACAGAAACTAGAAATAAATGTGCAGGCAAGGAGAGCTTCCCCTGAAATCTTTGGTTTACAGACAAGTATCTAGAGTCTTAAGAGTAACTTAATTTGGCCGGGTGCAGTGGCTCACGCCTGTAGACCCAGCACTTTGGGAGGCCAAGGTGGGTGGATAGTCAGGAGATCAAGACTATCCTGACCAACATGGTGAAACCCCACCTCTACTAAAAATACAAAAAAAAAAAAAAAATAGCTGGGTGTGGTGGCACATGCCTGTACTCCCAGCTACTCAGGAGGCTGAGACTGGAGAATTGCTTGAACCAGGGAGTCAGAGCTTGCAGTGAGCCAAGATCATGCCACTGCACCACAGCCTGTGCGAGACTCTGTCTAATAAAAAAAAAGGGGGGTAACTTAATTCAAAACAAATTGCATTAAAACCCACTTAGAAACTAATCAGAGAGCCTGAAACCTCATATTTTCTTCCTATTTCTTAAATCTCATCAGCCTTACCATATTTTCAACCTCTTAAAATTTTCTTTCCCTCCACACACTGGCTGTATTTCCTCAAATCCAGTTTCACTCTCACATATCTCTGTGGATTTATTCTTATGTATTTTCCCCAGAAATCCCAATGTTTCTTTAATCTGAGGACAGTGTCCTTTAATCTATTCTGGAAAATTGAATGTTGCCATGTCCTATTCTCTATATTCTTCTCCTCTCCAACTCCCTGTAAAGGTAATTTGGATTCTCTCATTTTATCCTCTATGGCTTTGGCTTCTTCTTCACATTTTTTTCTCTCTCCTCTTTCCATGCCACATTTGGTGTAATTTCCTCTGATCTATCTTTCAGTTCACTAATTCTCTGCTTAGCTTCATCTAATCTGTTGTCTGACACATCTTGAGCCTTTATTTTAATAAGTATATTTTTTATTTCTAGAAAGTTCTTGTTTTTTTTAACAAATTTACCTGTTTCTTCCACAATATCCTACATTTTCTTTACGTTTCTATTTTTTCATCTTTATAATTATTTTAAATGTAGTTATTTTAAGGTCTCTTTCAGATTGTCACATTGTTTTATGCTATTGGAATGCTAAACTAGTTTGATATGTTTGCTGACTTTCTCTAATAGTATATCATTTCCCGATGTGGTTTGTAACGTTTTTATTGTTTGGGCAACTTCAAAGGGGATTAGATTTTGCTGTGAGATGCTGTTGCTCTGGGGCACATTCCTCCCAAATAGTTTTGTATTTCCTTCTCTTGATATCCCATGAGTTTTATTGGTCTGAGACCTATTTTTATATTAATTTTACAGCTTGGGAATTCCAGCAGTGGAAATTCAGACAGTGTAGTCACATATGGTTCAGGCCTGGAGCTTCTATTTCTCACAGAAGACTTTTTTCTATTCAGAGCCCCAGTCGGGATAGGATTAACTGTCCCTACCCTAAGCCTGTGATTGGTATTATTTTAGTCCTGGTTTCTCTGAGGGTTTATCTCTTACAGGAGCCCAGTTTTTGCATAGATCTCGATTTTAGCTATCTTCCTCTTATAGACTAGAGATCACAGCCCCAGGGCAGCATCAAAACCATAGTGCCTAGCACCTAGAGCTATATTCCAACCTGATGTCCCCCGTGGAATAGCACCGTGGCTTCAGCTGGTGGAGCTCACCACTCAGACTTTACACTCTGTGTTTACTTGCTGGTAATTTTTTCACTGGGCTTTCCATTCCAGGTCATGAATGCCAAGCACTTTTTTTCTCCTATAGTGCCTAGCATGGTGCTCCATGATGAGCCTCCTCATTTAGCCATTCACACACTCAACATCCTTAGACACCCATACAGGACTCCTTTAGACAAGCAGAATCTCAGAAGTCAGCAGGGCATGAGATGTGATGGAAGGAGGGAGTGTAAGGACAGAGATGAGGAGGAACAGCAGCAGTGAGCACGTGCCCAGGGCAGGATGCTTCCCTGCCCTCCCTGGAGTTTGTTTCTTTCCTAGGAGCTAGTGTAGGTCATAAGGAGAGATCTGGCCCAAGAGCTGGACCTCCTTTAATCTGATCTCAGGCGTGTATGAGCTGGGCGAACTGGGAAGTCACTTCACCTTTCTTGAGCATCTGTAAAATGGAGATGAGGGTTTGGCCTGGGTGATGTCCAAGATCCCTTCCAGATCTCACAGCCTTTGGAGCTGCAAGTGAAGAACACAAACTGGACATAATGTGCTGGGCTCTTGCTCAGGTGTCCACTACCTTTTCTCCACCCCAAATCACCCACTGGAGTTTCTAGCTCTCCCATGCCCACCCCTCCTTCCTCTAGCACCCAAGCCTCTCCACCCGGCCTCCTTTCATCATTCCCTGCTGTCCTTTCACATCTACTCACTGCTGAGGCCTTTGTCCTGTGTCAGTGTCTTATGAAAGGAGGGTGACACTGCGGTGGCGATTAGTATCCCCTCCAGTGGGGGGGGGATGAGTCTCACGGAGCATCAGAAGGGAAAGGCAGGTCAACGGCGACTCACCACCTAGGTGCGCAGAAGCCCCATCTGCTTCCAGCTTCAGGGGTTTCCCGAGCCTTGGGCTGGAGACCCTGAATCTTAATGAGCCTCTTGAGCCGGTTCAGAAACAATGAATCAAACCCAGCTGGAAGCTGCCCTCCGACCCAGCTAATGACTTGTTTATTGTCAGAGCAGCAGTGCGTCATATAAGGGAATTTCAAAGTGTCACTAATTGGCAGAGCGCCAGTAAATAGCACCATATAAATCTGAAGGCACTTACACCAGGGCCGAGGACTGTGGAAGACACAGTTGAGGCAGGGGAAGAGGAGATTGCCAGGGTGTGGCAGTGGGTGCAAAGCACACCTGCTTGCCAACGGCTGTGGCCTCTTCCCTGTATCTCTACCATCCCACAGGGATGGTGTTTGCTCCGTGACTGGGGAACAAAGCCTGTGATGGGCCCTGTCCCACCTTTGGTGACATTGTACTGCACTCCTCCAGCCCCAAGATGCCTCGCTCCCTGCCGTACTATGGGGGACGCAGCCTGTGGTACTGTATTATGGGAGAAGGTGTCCTCCTGCGGAGGAAAGGACACATGATCTCATCCGAGTCAGGTGAGGGGACCTGAATGCATAAAGTCCCTTCTATGCATTACACAGAAATGTTCTGCTAACAGAAAAACTGCAGCGAGACCCTTACTCCAGTGGGCCCTTCCCTGCTCTCCCCCGAGTTTGTTTCTTTCCTAGGAGGTAGTGCAGGTCATAAGGAAAGACCTGGACAGAGAGCTGGACCTCCTTTGGTCTGATCGCAGGCACATATGAGCTAGAAGGACCAGGAAGCAATGACTGATGGGTAAAAAGAAGCCCCTTCTCACTCAACAGGACCCATGAGCTCCTCCTGGAAGCAGAACGAGAAGGTGGGCCAGCAACGGGTGATCAGCGAAAGCAATAGCTGTTCCTGCCTTGCTCCCCGGCGCCTCTCATTCATTGCAGCCTCACTGGCGGCCTGCACCTATCTATTGTTTTGAACTAACAATCTGGAGAAGAGGAAGCAAGATAAAGTGAGAAAGGAGGAAAAGCATAAAGTAGAAAATAAAAGCGGGTAGAAGGGAAGACAGGAGGTCAGCATTTCAGCGGCATAACCTCTGTGAGGTCTGGCAGGGAGGGGCAGGCACAGAAAGCCTTTTCCTTCTGCCCTGGCTGGCAAGGCGAGTTTGGGCTCTGCAGCTCTATGGGGAGGGCAGTGATCAGGTAAAGGCACTGAGGGGCTGATTCCTTAGAGTTGACCATTCTGTGTATGGGGGTGAGGGCCCTAGGGTTAGGCCCAGCCTACTGCTGGCTAAGCTTCCGGCATGTGGCATGGAGAAGCCAGGTGGAGAATGGGAGGAAGGCAAGCTCTGTATGCAGCAGAGCTGACAAGAAGTCCAAGGACACTTGGCAGAGTGGTGGCTCATACCTGTAATCCCAGCACTTTGAAAGGCTGAGGCGGGCGGATCACCTGAAGTCAGGAGTTCGAGACCAGCCTGACCAACATGGAGAAACCCCATTTCTACTAAAAATACAAAATTAGCCAGGCATGGTGGCACATGCCTATAATCCCATCTACTCGGGAGGCTGAGGCAGGAGAATCGCTTGAACCCGGGAGACGGAGGTTGCAGTGAGCCAAGATCATGCCATTGTACTCCAGCCTGGACAACAAGAGCGAAATTCTGTCTCAAAAAAAAAAAAAGAGAGCAAGCGCTGCCTAAATTTAGAGACATCCATCAGGGCCAACGGTGCAGCAGAGAACTCCCTAGCACAGCACAGCCGATCTCTCACAGGTGGGTTCCATGACTGCCATCCCCGTTTTACAGATGGAAAACTGAGGTTCAAAGACTCAGGACATTTCAGGGCCTGTCTAGGAGGTTCTGAGGCCTCCAGGCTGCTGACTCACCCACTCACGCACTCCCAAATGTGGATAGAGACTTATGTCCTGGGCCCTGGGTTGGGAACGGTGAAACTTCTAAGATATGAGTGAGCAGCAGCTGTGTCCTCCACGGGCTTCAGAGCTAACAGGGGAAACGGCATCCAAACACAGAGAATGTAAAATGCCACGGGAAGAATTGGAAAAGAGGAATGAACAGAACACATGGGAGAGGATGGGGGGTAAAGTCTGTCTTATCTGGTAGGAACAGGAGGCACTTCATGGAGGGGTGAGATGTAAGGTGAGCCTTGAAGAAAAGACAGATTTCTAACAAGGGAGCGAGGCATGCAGGGGAAAGGCAGGCCCCACCAAGAGGGCCCAGGCGCTGCAGCGGCATCTTCCCACCTCCCGCCCACAGCCACACTCACAGCACATGATGGCTGCGGGCTCGTGTTCAGCTCACAGAAGAGTCGCTGAGACAAAGCACTTGGGCAAAAAGTAGCCGGCCGAGGAAATTCCCCCAAACAGAGACACAGGATGTCCTGGTGGCCTTGGGCCCTATGCCCCACAATCTCCATGCCTTTCTCCTCCGAGGAATCCCTCACGATTAGCCTTTGCCTAACTCTGCTAGCCGAATACTGGTTTCACGTAGCAAGAAAGCCCGAAAAACTTTATCCCCCAGTACATCTACTTTGTTATGTCTGCAACACTAAATTTTTAATTTTATTAATTTTTCTAGTGGTTTTCATATGATGCAGACATAAAACAAGAGACAAAAGGTCATATAAGGAGGCTGGGCACAGTGGCTCATGCCTGTTATCCCAGCACTTTGGGAGGCTGAGGCAGGTGGGCCACCTAAGCTCAGGAGTTCAAGACCAGCCTGGCCAACAGGGTGAAATCCCATCTCTACTAAAAATACAAAAATCAGCTGGGCATGGTGGTAGGTGCCTGTAATCCCAGCTACTCAGGAGGCTGACGTCGGGGGATCACTTGAAGCCAGGAAAAGGAGGTTGCAGTGAGCCGAGATCACAACACTGCACTCCAGCCTAGCAGAGGGAGACTCAGTCTCAAAAAAAAAAAAAAAAAGGACATAGAAGGAAAAGTATTCCTGCCGCCTCTGCAACTGGCCACTTAGTCCCTCTTCCTGTTCTCAAATGTTCTCAGTATTACCAGGGCCTTCAGTATTTTTTCTGAGACTTTCTACTTGGATGTCGTTTTTAAAAATAGAAATACCTTCGTCCACTGAAATACTCTTTCTGGGCTGTTTTAGACCTTCCCTGTGGGGAGACAAGAAGGAATAGTACATAATTCCTGGCCCATACAGAAGAGCAAAACCCTCCTTAAGGCTACAAATGCACGATGTTCATCCTCAGGGTAATCTAGTTCATGTGTGAGTTATATGCATCCCCTCTTGTAATACTCTCAGTAACCTATGGTCAGCATTACTGTCAGCATCCCCATTTCCCAGATGCAGAAACTGAGGCTCAGAGAGATTCAGAAACTTTCCCCTCCCACCCAATAGGTGGCAGCATACGAATTTGAATCCAGGCCTGTCACATTGCACATCTTTCATCTTTTTTTTTTTTTTTTTGAGACGGAGTTTCACTCTTGTTACCCAGGCCGGAGTGCAATGGCGCGATCTCGGCTCACTGCAACCTCTGCTTCCTGAGTTCAAGCTATCCTCCCACCTCAGCCTCCCAAGTAGCTAGGACTACAGGTGTACACCACCACACCCAGCTAATTTTTATATTTTTGGTAGACACAGGGTTTCCCCATGTTAGCCAGGCTGATCTTGAACCCCTGGCCTCAAGTGATCTTCCCACCTCACGCTCCCAAAATGCTAAGATTACAGGCATGAGCCACCGCGCCCAGCCCAGACTGCACATCTTTGACTCTTAACCACTATAACTGTTTCTAGAAAAAGGAAGTGGAAAGTACTTTGGATTTGGCAGAGCAAAGTCTACATAGAAGTGAGGGGACCTGCACAGAGCAGAGCCTAAAATCCAGTCTCCCACTCAGATGTCCAGGGAGAAATCCACCTGCAGAGAACATCCCAAGTTTCTGCATCAGATTGTTTGCACCCAGCTCAGGGTTTGCATTGTATTTGGAACAGAAGAGAGAGCTACGCCAGGAAACAGAATTACTGCACACAGAGAAATGTCTTCTGGGCAGCCTGAGTCGACAGGCCTCCCATGGGCAAAAGCCACCAGAAGACCAGAGCTGGCTTTCAGGGAGGATGCACTGAGACCCACCTTTCCTGGACCCGATCCATCAGTAGCTGCCTTCCTATGGGCCCTGAAAAGATCTATGTGAGCCCCCATACCCAGCGCTAATGGCCTCAGGGGAGAAATGCCCTGGTCGCTCTGAGGACCCAGAGCAGTGTTTTCCAGCAGCCTAGGAGGAGCTTCTGAGCAGACAGGGTTCTAGAAGAGCTAGGCCATCACTCCAGACAGAGATGATTGTGCTAATAAGGAGAGAGGTGGCCAGCCAGAGCCCTCCCTTGGCCCCAAGCCTCCGGTTAATGAGACTTCACAGAGAGAAAGCGCCTCTCGGGTGAGGGGGATGGGGCCACAGGGCCACAGAACAGCTGGAGGCCAGCAATCACTGAGGTTGTTTATTAGGAGACAAAGAAAGAACTTTGCTCCCTGCGCTGAGGTCAAACTCAAGGTATCCCGGGGAAATGACAGGGGAATTGATGAAGTGAGGAGGCAGCCAGTTTGACAAGCTCTCGGCTGGCCCCTGCTCCCGCACTGTGGTCTCCATCTGCCCCCCTCCCTCACCAAAGTCTTGGAAAGCACTCACTTTAATGGAGCAAGATTCTCCCCAGCAAGCAGGCCGAGTGCCCAGGCTTCCGGGCCACTGGATGGGCTTCCAACAGATGATGCACACCTGACCACCACGCAGGGAATAGGAAGGGAGAAGACAGTGGCAGCCACTTCCTGGGTCCCACAGAAGTTCCAAACCACCTACCATGCACTTCCCAACTCACCTCCAGTTCAGACACGTGCAGATTTCACCCAGGGCTAGAATGTCCCCGAGGTAAGTAAATAGCCTCTGATGGTGTTTGTGGGGACAGGAAGCTGGGTCCTAGTTTTGAACAAGCAGGACTGCCCCCCACATCACCCCGACATCCTTGGATGTATAAGGAGGGAGGGGTGTGGAGCTTGCATAGGACAGAGTGGACTTTCTGGAAGTCTGAGTGGAAGGAAATTCAGCCACTGCATTGTGGGACGCTGGAGAAACAGAT